CATCTCAAGAACGTGTCTTCAACAAGAAACTTACAGCCACGTGCCCGTTTTCTTCACTGAGGTACTGTCGGACGTCATTCAGCGCTGCTAAGGCACACTGTCTAGAAAAGGAGAGTAAAATTCAAATGTTAAAGTCATTTTATTAATGCACTTGTGCATTGTGATCAAAATGCCCTGCAAATGTTAGATAATCTCTCTCAAAAATATGTGTTTTTCAATCAGTCCTTTCCTCCCTGCCCCAAAACTTGGAAAAAACAAGAGATGAACCAAGCTGTACCAGGGAAATACGGTCATGACCATCTGCCATGGTGGATGGAGCACTATTTTTCAGTAATCTACTTCTTCTCTTTTGAACTACTGTGTAAAAATTGCTTATGTCAAAAAACCCTGTTAAAACAGAGTAAAACAAAGTCAGCACCAACCATCAGAGACAGGGGTGGAAACTGACATCCCACTGCCATCACCAGCCCCATGTAATTAGTACTGGTGACCATTAAGGGGACAAACACAAAAAATCCCCACCCCTGCATACTTTACACTTGTGTTAAATCTGGACAAGAAGAAATTAATTTGCAACTTTCCTATTTTCCCAGCATCATCATCATCATCATCATTATCATCTTCAAAGGCCATTATGATTTCTAACACATAGATAATACTGGAGGGCGACATTAACGTTGTACATTATTTACTTGTTAATAGAACAAACCCCATTTATTTCCAATAGGTACAGTCTTTTTGCAGTACCAACACGAAAATCTGTTCATTTCAACAGCCTTTCTCTGCATTATTACTCTATTTTGACTTCCAAATGTGTAACTCTTCTCTTACATCTACCATATTCTCCACGCACAGCTTTATCTTAAAAGAAAAATGAAGGCTTTTCAATCCTGACAGTATTTCCGCATTAGCATAGTTAATAGATGTCAGGAACCGAGATTCATCAGTCGAGTCTTCACTGAATAAACATAAACCCTCTTTACTCATTGCTAACTAGGCAGATCAGCTCACACAGCCCATTTCATGTTATATTCCCCACCATTAAGTCCAGCAGATGACACAGAAGCACGTTAAAAGGTTTGGCTCTACCTCTAAGCAAAAGGTAGGGGCTGGCAAGACTAACACACCTCGTCTCTGCCCTTTGGTCCCAAGGGATTTGGAGGTTCTTATGTATATGTATATATGTATAAGATATAGATATGTATAAGTAGCTCTCCTTTGACACAAGCAACGCTCAGCTGTTGCTGAAGGGGAAAGGGAAGAGAAAGAGGACAAGCAGAGGGACAGGCACAGACGTCAGCCCAGGTAGCAGGAAAGTCCAGACCATTTTGATGCTTGAGCTGAAGCAATTAGGAACAAAATATTCTGTATTTCAAGTATCCTAAACATATCAAGTTTCCATTCCTCTAAAATTTCTGTTCCTTCTTGTTTAATACTGCACATTCTTGTTTTCCTGAAAACACTAAAAAAGACAATGAACGGTCCAGAAAAATATAAAAAAACCTTCTATTTGAGCTTCCGTAAGGAAGAGAGGCTGCTCCCTCCTGCTCTCACCTCCCCTTTCTTCTAAAAGCCTTTTCTCCACGTTAAAGGAGCAGAGTCTCAAAGTGCTGCATCTGGATACAGATGTTCACCCTGGTGCTCACTGCGCTTGCACAACATTAGTAAAACACAGTGACTGACCACGTGGAGTGCCCGCACGGTGGCCAGAAAGACCATTTCAGGGAGAGAGCAAGTGTGTTTCATTTCATCCATCTGAATGAGATATATCCAAAGCACTCCAGGCAAAACACTCCAGTATGCAAACCAAGAAGAAAAACAGACATGTGGCATTTTTTCTTCTTTGTTATCCACACAAAAGCCCTACAATGGCATTTTATGAATTGGGCAGCAGAAAAGAGTCACATCTAATAGCTAATACCTTACAAAAAAAGGTAAGAAAAACAGTATTTGTTAAAACTGCTTTGAGTGAAAATATCCTGGAATATCTGCAGGAATGACAGCAGTCACAGCCTACTGAAAGACAAAAAGAATCAAGTTTAAGTATTTACCTTCTCTGCATTTTTGATGTTTGAGATGAAGCAATTAAGAAAAAAATAACCCAAATTTCAAGCAGCATAAAGAAAACCACTTTACCACCCTCTCTAGGCTTTCTTTTCCTTTCCATTTCATACTGCAGTCTCTTAAGGGTTCTCTTAAGCATACAAAAATGAAACTTAAAGCAATCTCTCTGAGAGTAAACTACACAGGGTACTTTTTAATACAATTAGCATGGTGTAGCCAAACATATTCAAAACTTACTTCCTGATTTTCAAGCCTTCTTCATTGTCAGGCAGGAAAAATTCAAAAGATTTATACTTCTTCACCAAATCTCGGCGATACTGACCAACATTAAATTCTGCCAAGAAGAAACCAGTGTTAGTGGGAATTAACAATATTCACATAAAAAGGACAAAAGCGATGACAGCTTTGAAACCAAACTACCTGCAAGGGTAAAATAACTTGGTGTGCACAAATTCAACACAACACACTACTTCTTGTGGTTTGGGGGTTGTGTTTTTAAACACAAACCCAACAACAATCATAGAGATGGCAAGAGAACATTTGGGCTGCAGGGCAGCGTCAGCGGAGTCACCTCACCACATTGCTGCGCCTCTGCCAGCCTGAACAACCAAAACAAACCCTTCTCCTCCTCTGCAGGAGCAGCTGCAAGCCCATTTCAGTAGTGTACGAAGGAGCACTAATAATCTAGTGTTTTCTTCCGTGTACACATGCAGTGAAACAATATTTTGACAGCACCTCCCAAAACTATCACCTCGTATTTAAGCAAGGAGGAATTCCAAAATAGGACTAACCAATCCTCCTTCTGGTAAATGAAACTTAAAATTCAAGTTGAGGAAACATTTTTTCTGAACTCTGCTCAAATATTTATCCTCCTTAAGGATCAGTACATACTATTTCATGGCCCTGTTCCATTTGTTTAAAAAAATGCTTAAGTTGTTAGGAAAACTATTAAAAAATCAGTGTAGGTACTGTATATAACCTTACAGTGATCTCCTAACAGCCGCCAAAGAAAACTATTCCTTATCTGGGCAAAGGTCTATAAAGTCTGTGCACATACAGGTGTCGCAATGTTCAATATGAGATGGGGGCAAGGCAGTTCCGTTTTGGCATAGCAGACAATGACACCGTACCCTAATTAACTTCATCTGACAGCTCTGAAATTAGGTCTCTGAAGTGCAATTAATGTTTAACTTGTTTCTGAACTATAAGGTTTTCTCCGCTGAACTGCAAAGCACTTCTTTTTTTTTAACATTAAATCAAGCTGAAGTGTTCTGTTTGAGAAGCTGCCAAGGTGTAAGTACTTGCCAGACTTCATTTGTGAAAAGAGGGAAAGAAGTAACAGACGCAATTGCTGAGCTGTAATTAAGAAAAAAAGACACAGGATAAAAGAGCTCAACCATCGCCTGCTGTACATAGATTGCTGCTGGGAATGGCAGCGGAGGATAAAGAAATAAATACTGTTTAGCCCACAGAAGCAAAATCTTGGTTGACTTCAACAGATTTTTTGTGGTCAACTGTATGACACGGACTATAGTACAACCCAGGTTATTGAGTGGGAGGTTTAATAAGCACTGGCCATGCTGGCTACGTGAAAAGGTGGCTCCTTTTAAGAAAAAGCGTAAGATGCAAGAAGTTTAGATGGCCAGAGCTGTAAGGCAATCGCCCCTTAAAAATATAAATAAATAAATATTAATTTCTTAAGAAAAAAATAGCTGCTGCAAGAGGGTCATGCACAAGGAGGGAAAAAGTGCTATCTAGTGGAACAATCTTCAGCCCTCGTTATTGGCATCCAGCCCTGTGGAAAAGTTCACCAAAGCCAACTAGTATCACAACCACCACAGAGGCAGAACTATTCAGAAAAGCTTCCCAAAGTTCAGTATCTAAAACCCACGTTGCAACACAATTCTATTCAGGCATCTAATTGACCTCATTTCCTTCAAAAAGCCCAGACAAAAGTCCTTTGTATTTTTAAGCATTTCATTTTGAAATGACAGAGGATTTTGGAAGGAACGAAAGAAAACACAGAACTAATGGCTGAAATGATTCAGCCAACATCAAGTCTGGACTATTTACCTGCACCTTCTGCTCCTGAACTCCCCAGCTTGCTGAATGTATGTTACAGGAAAAGATGGCACTTTTCTCTGGTTTATATGACCTCGTAACTTTAACCATCTGTCTCGGAGAGTAAGAACACTTACGATATTAAGCACACACAGATTTTAAGACATCAAGAGCCAAAAGGTAACAGATGATGAGTATCGAGTAGCCCCAATGTGTATCGATTCAGTCCCAACCAACTGGAAGCATTAGGCAAGGTGTCATTTATTCCCTCAGCCAGCGAGGCATTTAAAATTGATTTCGGCTTCAGTAAAACTGCATCATAGGAAGGGCCTGTGGTTTTCTAAGAAAATCCCAAGACACCCTTTGGTAACAAAGGCAAAGTGTAACCAGCAACCCAGAATGGAAACTCATATGGCAACTTTACATTGTATATTTTTGCAAAATTAGGCAGCAATGCTCTATTTTTTATTAAGCACAATGCATGTATTTTCTGATGCGAGGCTCACAGTAGCCCACGAAACTTTTCCTGTACCTGAAGCAGACCACTCCTACTGAATTTTACTGTATTTGTGATACATCCAACCAAGCATGAGACACATGTGGACAATATCTTGTTTGCTGTCCAACACTGGATTTCTGGTTTTCGAAGTACACTCAAGTAAAACGCTCCACACGATGCCATGTATACACACCTACACACAGGTATACTACGCAGCTCATCAGCCTGGATATAGACTAACACTTTTAGATTGTTATTCTGCTTCAACCTAATGGATAAAACTGAAGTCCCTAAATACTGCTCTTCAGAAGGGTGATCCTGTGTGAAAACTGCTGAAACTCAGGCGATAATTTAAATCCTGTAAACTCTCATACTCAAACAATGTAACGTTTCCTCCTTAACATCTCATCTAAAAAAACACGTATTAGACCACTTTGTAAGAGCTTAAGAAAACACCAGCTTCAAAAGCTATACCCTAGAATCCAAAGGCAGTTTAAGTATAGGCCAGAACTCTTCACTTTGACTTCTTAGAACTACTAGGAAATACATCGCTGAATATCCAGCCAAAAGCCCACCTTTCAGTATGATCTGTTACGTTTAATGTTACTTAAATTATTAAATATTCATAATTACAAAGCTAACACTGGTGCATCAGACAGATTCACCAAACACTTTTTCTTCTACAGAGACAGAGGAGAAGGCAGCAGAGATGCCTGCTTAGAACCCCAAATGGACTTGGGTCTCATTTACTTGTTGATTTGGGTCCGTAAGATACCACAGGAGCTCAGGAATGAGACAGGACAGTCAGGGCCTTGGCAGAACCAATCTGAGCCACGGTTTTCCATCAAAACACACAAAGTTCTGCAGAGACTGATAACAAGTGGCTGGTTCAGTTCCTTGTGCTCTTAATATTCAACCTAAGAGCTGCAACGCATTCCACAAATGCAGTTAAACAGAAGTTACGCACAGTATTACACCACTGCACAAAGTTCACAGAGAAAACAAGAAGGACAAGCCAGAACTTTATCCCAAAAGTGCTGACTGCTCGTCCGCTTGTCAACGAGATTCCCTTTCGCTTACACAAAGAAAGAGGAAGGAAACAAGAAGAAATACGACAGCTGAAGAACCAAAGCATTAAGGCATAAGGGCAAAGGGTTGGTTTAGGCATCTGGTAAACAAGGAGGTAAATTAACAGTAACCAGAATTTGATTAATTAACACTTAAACAGAACAGAGAGCCTGTGCACACTACTGCTTAAGAGTAAGTTAGCAAAACAGAAGGATTTCGAGTAGTCAAACTAGTCAAGGAAATTACTGGGAACTGGGTTTATAAAAAAACCTAACACAAGCCCTGTTCTTGTGATGTAAATAAAAGTAAGTCCATCACCTTTTGTTGGCACTCCAATCCAGTTTAAGTAGCGTGTCAGCTTCTTGGAGATGTAGGTTTTTCCTCTTGCTGGGAGACCCACCATGACAATCAGAGTAGGGCAATTGGTCATACATACTGCAACAGAAAACCAGGATTTACCATTAACACCCCGCAAAGCAAAGGCTCATATTGTGGTGGAAAATTACAATCCACGTGCTCCCCGAGGAAGTGACTGTTCAGGCAGCTCATGCACGGTGCCTCGCCATTTCAGGGTCTTTTTTCAGGAGCACAGTGGACCCAACTGGGTTTCTTAATGCCGTGCTGAATTTTGGAAGTGCAAGTCAGTGGTAGTGCCACAGTGGACATGTGAATTGTATACAGGCAGAGGACAAGAAACCTATGTATTTGCATACGTGTTTTAAGAAATACAAAACAATAATAATAATTATTATTATGATGATGTTTGTTTTTTTTTTAAAAAGGACAGTGACATCTTATGCTCCTATGTACCTCAGCTCAGTGCTTGCATTGAAAGGAAACTCCAAGGTGTACACAATTGTTAGATAATTTTTAAATCTTTAAGACAAAACCTCACCACTGCTCAAGCTTTTCTTGGTTTTATGCAAAACAAGCATGACAGACGTAACTTGATGCATTATAGTATGACATGGCACTCGTTATGATTTCTCCTTTAAATATTATTACCACAAAAATCTCTCTTGAAACAGAGTTCACTTCGACAGTTCTTCAGTGGTTACTAAAGCACAGGTACTCTACGCAACCAAGTACAATAATCTGATATACAGATATATGTACAGAAATACTCTCAATCAGAGGCAGAGTGCTTAATTAAAAAAATTAACACTGTATGAAGTTAAAGGAGTTGTATGTATAAACTGAAAACCTTGAGGCATCTCCTTTCAAATGGCAAGTTTTTGAACATTTTAATGGCATAAAACTATGGATACCTTGCATGAATCTATCACAGCTACAAGGCACTGCCTAAAAAGAAAGAAGACATTAAAGTGGCACAAAGATACTGCTGGCTCCCTCCACCTCATATTTCAAAGGGAGTTAATTTCTGTACAATCCACATATGCACCAATTTCCACACTGTCCTAATAGAGGAGTCAATTAATTCTCTCCAGAAGACTAAACGCTAGCGTTACGCCATGAGGTGTAACAAAACTGTGGTACAAACCACTGTGACTGCCCAAGGTTCCCAAACCTTGCACTGACAAGGTCCCATCCCACAAAGTCACCTGCACGAATCTGGCACAGCTACTCCACGTAGTAAACTCAACACACAGGTTGAGAAAAAAAGAACACACAGGTTAGCAGAGAGAGGTGCAATATCTTACAACGCGCATTGAAAAGACTAAAAAACCAAAACCCAAACCCATTAAAAATACACCACTTCTCATGGGAGAGCAGGCAAAACCGCATGAACGAGCAGAATGATCTTGTCTTGTCCCTCTTCCTTTGTCCCAGGTTCAGGCCTGTGACCACCCTCTCCAAGAGGAGGAAGGGGAGCTCTAGGGAAACAAAGTCTATGAAGTGCACAGAACACAGCGCTTACCAAGCCTTGCTTCTAGCTTTAAAGGCAATAAAATAAAAGACTGAGGCGAGAGAAATCTCTAAACCCCTAGAAATTTCAAGAGAATACACTGTTTTTCAAAGCCAGTTTGAAAGGTTCTTCACTTGAAATACCTACCTCAAGTTTTAAACAATTTTCCAGTGTAAGCAATGAAATAACAGTTGTAAAGGACAAATTGGGATCTGCACACACCCTCAGGTCCACATGCTCTGCAAGGAACCGTGCTAACTGAAACTGGCTTTTCTACCCGTTCTGGACAGAACTTACCCACTGACGTGGTACCTAGATCACATCTTTTTTTGTTTTACACTACCCTCCCCTTCCTTTTCCCTGGAGTGAGCCACACAAATTCAGCATTTGTCTTTTTGGTGACACTGGAGCAAAACTCTACTTTGCAAACCTAAAGGCTAGGAAGCTACCATGAGAAAACTGCAACATTGCTCAAGTGGTTGCTTCACAGATTGCACCGACAACTGCTCCCTAAACCAAGTCCTGCTGCGGATGGAGGCTCGTAACACATCTCCTCATGGAGCAGATCTACACCACCACAACACCAGAGGGACGTTTCCCCCCACCACCAAGCGGTCAGTGTGCACGTCTGGCATCACGAGTGGTTTTATGCTAATCTCCCCAAAGAAGTACAAAAACTGGCAAAAGTGCCTTTGTTAGAGGCCTACGCATACAGCTTAACATGCATGCCTAATCCACTATTCCCACCGCTCTGTGCACAGCTATTTGGTGTGCGACCGTACAGCAGAAACCAAGGGAATTATCTGCCGATTCCAATCAAAAACGTTGCAATCCTATTCTGATTAGATGCCAGGCTGGCCAAGAGTGCTTTTCTTCTTTGAAGACAGATACCAGCAAGACAGATGTCAAGGAAGACCACCACCGGTGGCAATCATCTCACGTAATGCCATAGCCCTGCAAACACCATTACACAGCACATGGTGCTGCAGCACGTACCCCACTAGTGCTGAGCTGGACCGAAAGCACTTTTGTCTTCAACAAGAGGATGCCAGGTCACAATCCAAAATTTAGGGCACTAAAAAATACTGATGTTTTGGCTTAAATGGCTAACAGTGGCTGTGTTCTAACACCACTTACGCAGGTGGCATTTCGCGACAAGCACACCTGTGTGTTTGGAAGCAGAAGTCAAAAAAGCACATTTGCTGACCAAAAGAGCAGACATTAACAGCCAAATGGCAGGACTGGAGAAAAAGCACAGAAAGCAATTATTTTATTTCTTCTGTACCTCTCAACAACACACATAAGACTCAGCAAAGCAAACAAAGGTTTTAGTTTTCTTCCTAACGATCCCATGTCATTAACAAGGCTTAATTTTGCTCATTAGCTCAGTAAAACAAGTTGAGACTAAACCAAAATGCAAAGTTCTGATGTATCAAATGCTCAACAGATAAAAATAATTTCATTTCCTTTCACTTTATCTGAACCCAACTTTCTCAACACAACGCTGCCAACACTCGCTCTCAGTGCTGGGGGGGAACGTTCATTCCAATCAGTATTTAAAATGTCTGTGTCTCAAGATTTACACCTTCCTCTTCTTCAAAGTAAGCAATTTTCACACGAGGATGGGGGGACCGATAAGAAAACCCAAACAAACCACAAGTTACACGTACCTAACTCCTGAAACAAAAAACTCTTTTTAGTTTAGTCTTTTCCCCATGGCACAATGCTCAATTACCCATTTCACAGCACCTCATGATCATTCACTTTATATGAAAAACAATTTGCAGCACAAAACTAATAATATAGGCAAAAATTGCAATGCCAAGGCAGATTCCTCAGTGCAGCTGTCTCTCAATTCCTTGCCACTGCGTTGTCTGGTTTACCTCCAGAAATGTCTCTACACAATCCAATCTCAATAAAACAAACTCATTTTTTAATACTTTTTCTCGTATGTAACTCCTAAGGGTTTTGGACAGCCCCAGCTTGTGGATGCACTATCAACGCTAATTTCGCTAGAGGAACGTACGCATTCAGAACAGCAAAACAAAACTTACAGGGTTGTATGCCACTGTTTGCTAAAGATGCTCTATGACTTTGTTCAGTCGTCTTCTTTAAAATACGTTTGCAATATATGCACGTAACATCGCGTGTTTATGAACTGCAGCACCAAAAAGAAACATAGGTTGTATTTCCTTGCTTAGAGTGAACACACAAAAAACACACCCAAAATACCAGTGAAGGCAGATGGCCAAGTGATCAAGCACATTAAAATCTAGTACTGCAATTTAAGCAAAGGCATTATCCCAGTTAAAAACGTCTTGCATGCTACTGACCACCACAGCAAGTGGCAGTTTAGAATAAAATCACAACTGTCTGCCCTTCTAAAGTTTAAGATTTAGCAGTCAAGGAAAGAAGAAACTGTGTGCTCACTTCTTGCCTCTTAGACTCCATTGTGAAATAATGGAGATGCAGAAGGTTGTGAAACCAACCTGGGACATTTTACAGCCTGGATCAGTCGTGCAGCATTTCATCAGCCCTCAAAACTCCCACGATCTTGTGAAACCAGAGACAAGAGATGGTATTTTTCAAGTTCACCTACTACCTAACATATCATCAGCTGGCCAAAATGAGATTTTGTTTTTCCTTATCTGTGTAAAATTTTTAAGGCAACTTTTAAGGTCAGAAGCTTTTTTTGTATCACGCTGCTACAACTAGCCATCTCAAGTTTACGAAGGATTCTTGCTGCTTCTGTTTCTATTGCCTTCGACTCAAGGACTGTTCTCTGAAATCACTCCACTATTTAGAGGCTCATACACAAACATCTTTAACTGCAAGCCAACACAACCACCCTTCCAAATAAGGGTAGCCCTACATGCTTGCCCTTATCACTTACCCAATTTAACTGCTGACAATCCATTTTTTTCCTGTTGATCAATGGTGACCATTCCTCACCCCTCTACGCATCCCGCAGGGATGAGCTCCCCATCCTGCTGCTCATCCTCCTATACCTGAAGAGGGCCATTATTTGTGTCTCTTCTTTTTGACCAGTTTCGAAGCTCACCTCGGTACAAGGGATTCACAATTTGTGTCTGTCCTCGTGCCACCCACTGCCCCTAGCAGCTTTGCCACCCACTTGCTCAGGGTTACCACCTGCTTCCTACAAGTTTGATGCCCTCAGCAACGGCCCTGTCGTACATCCTGATCCTCAGGCTATAGCTCGGTGCTGTCCTTACCTCATCTGCTTTTTCCATCTTCAGGTCCTAGGGTTGGGAGTACAACTGCACACAAGCAGTGTGAGCTCAGAGGGTCGAGTTCTTCAGAGCAAAGACAGTCTTCATTTGACACTTTTCTTTTTTTTGAACCTGATCTACATTCTACTGCTGTATGAACAGCAAATAACAATTAGCAGAATGACCAAATTCCATCAGCTTTAGGGAAACAAAGCCATTAACTGGAGTAGGGGGAAAATAACACTTAACCACAGGAAGTTCACTATTTAGCTCCCTCCATAAACATCCTCTGCTAGGCTCTCAAAATAACTTTCACCATTGCATACTTTGCTAT